GAATAATTATAATAAGGAGTCTCAAATGTAATTTGAGATAGGTGAGGGGAGTGCAAAATATTATTGTGGTGGACTTTAATATTATTAATATATTAATTGTGGGGTTGCTCCACAGTATTAATATATTAGAAGCCCTTATCCTATTCTCCTTAGGGTCCCTACTGTAGCTCTATATATACAACATTAGGCTCTTGGAAGAGAAGAGAACAATCCCACACCTTGGGAAACACGTCCAACTCTCTTTCTCTCTCTTCCAAGGAGTTCTTCTATGTCTTGTGCTCCACTGATACAAGAGCTAAAAAGCTGTTTGAGAATACAGTAGAAGATCTTAAGGTATATAGAGATTCCAATCATACATCCAAACCGGAGACCAAAACCAGCAAGTGACCATACCACGATGACCAGGACGACGAGACGAAGAGATCGCCGTCGAGATCGCCGCCGCACGCGCCCACACGCGCCGCCGGAAGGTCCCAGTTGCTGAAGTTCAATCGCGCGCGTGAGAGCGCGTGGAAGGTCCATTTTCCGACCGGTCAACGCCGTTGACTTCGCCGTGACGTCAGCTTTCCGGATTGGTCAAGTTTGTTCGATTCCGAGAAGATTTGATTTGCGGTCATCTGTCCGGGCCAGCCAGATCTACATAAATTTTAAGCAGTAAGTTTTCTTCATCAAACCTTTAGATCTGCTGCGCATAGGTTTATGTTGAATGTTTGTCCGTGATTTGTGCATATCGAGATCCTCGTGGGTTCCAAAAGCTCGATCATTACAATATTTTGGTCAAGTCGTTTAGAATGGCTCGGAAGACGGTGAACCAGCACCAGCAAATCGAAGTTAAGATGCGTCTCATCGGTAGAAGGAACAAGGATGGTCAGCGTTATAATTTACCCTCGACTTCGGAAGTTTCCACCTTAGTTGTTGGCGATTTCAATGATGCTATGGGCAGCAGGGATATTATAGTAGAAAATCGGAGCGGACGTTTGCAGCGGATCAACGAGTTGAATGCTTCCTACTTGGATCTCCATTATCCTGTTCTTTTTCCATACGGCGAGGATGGTTACAGGGAGGACATTTCATTCTCCTCCCTAAAACCGATTACGAAGAGGTCGAGGAAATTTATCAGCCCGAATGAGTTCTTCAAATATCAGATGAACGATCGGGATGCCGAATTGTCGTCAATTCTTTCTGCTCGGAGGTTGTATCAGCAATTTGTTGTGGACGCTTATACAATGGTGGAGGGATTTCAGCTCAATACATCCGTATTAATAAGGGAAACTTGAGAACTGAGTTGTATAGTCGACTTTCAGACGTTGTGTTGCGCGGTGACACTAATCATGCTTCTCAAGGCAAACGGATTATACTTTTGTCATCCTTTACGGGTGGCCCGAGATATATGATTCAGAACTATCAGGATGCAATGGCCATTTGTTGTTGGACCGGTTATCCTGACATTTTAATAACCTTCACTTGCAATCCGAAGTGGCCCTAAATCGGTCGTTTTCTTGCTGAGAGGAACCTCAACCCAGAGGATCGTCTTGATATAATTTGTCGGGTTTTTAAGGCTAAGTTAGATGTATTGATGAGGGATGTTCGACATAACAAGATGTTTGGATATGTGAATGCAGGTATTTCTTCTGACTATTATTTAATTAATTTATTTATATTTTTATTATATTTTTGGCATTATAGAAGTTTTCACATAAATATTATTTTTTTTGCAGCAATCTACACGATTGAATTCCAGAAGCGTGGCCTTTCCCATGCCCATATCTTGCTTTTCCTTGCCAAGGAATACAAGATACAGACTACTGATGGCATAGATAAAATAATTTCTGTCGAGATACCAGATGAGGCCACCGATCCGTTTTACTATGCCGCTGTTAGAGATCATATGATGCACGGCCCTGCGGAAGTGTTCGCCCAAAATCCCCGTGTATGGCGAACGATTGTTGCACGAAACATTTTCTTAAAAAGTTCTCTGAAACCACGACCCTTGACGAAAAAGGCTATCCACGATACAGACGTCGTGATAATGGCAGGACCATAGTAAAAAAATGGCATTCCCTGGATAATAGATATGTTGTACCTCATAACAGAAAATTGCTCCTGAAGTACGGCGCACACATAAATATAGAGTGGTGCAACCAGTCGAGGTCCATCAAGTATTTGTTCAAGCACGTGAACAAGGGGAAAGATCGCGTTACTGCCACCTTCCATGCGTCCAATGGAGATGAGTCCTCTAGCAGGCCAATTGACGAGGTGAAGATGTACTATGATTGTCGGTACGTTTCATCTTGTGAGGCTGCGTGGAGGTTGTTGGATTTTGAGATTCAATACAAGCACCCATCAGTGGAGCGCTTGAATTTTCACCTCGAGAACGAGCATCCGTGCTACTATGACGATGGAGTTCCGATCGATGAAATGGTAAAGAAAAATAAAAATGCTGCCAGCAAATTTTTAGCTTGGATGGAAGCTAACAAGAAGTATCCCGAAGCCAGGAAACTGACATATGTTGAGGCTCCCACCAAATTTACGTGGCACTCGGATACCAACAGTTGGGAGCCTAGGAAAGGAAGTGACCGTATCGCGCGTTTGTACTTCGTCCCCCCTGGTGCTGGAGACATATATTACTTGCAGTGTCTTATCAATGTTGTTCGAGGTGCAACGTGCCATCGTGACTATATGAAGTTGGACGGAGTACAACACAATTCGTATCATTACGCGTGTTTTTCCCTCGGTCTGGTTGAGGACGACAAAGAATACATTGAAGGGATTATCGAGGCAAGCCAGTGGTCAAGTGCCAATTGGTTGAGAAACCTTTTTGCTACTTTGTTGTCTTCTGATACTCTCGGTTGACCAGAGTTCGTGTAGGAAGCATGTTGGCCTTACCTATCGGATGATAAATTATATAATCGTCGGAGGCTTTTACAGCATCCAGGTAAACGAATCAATTATGGTCACATACTTATTTTTTTTTTCCTTCATGAATTATGTCTTTATATTTATAATCTTTCTATATTGTTGTTACAGAATTGGTTTTGAGCGATGATGAAGTAAAGAATCTGGCATTGGTAGAGGTTGAAATTTTTTTACGCAGATGTGGTTCGAGTCTACGCGATTCCGGTACAATGCCTTTTTCTAATCTCGACCGTAATGAGGCATCCACGAATAGACCGGTGATGGAAGAGTTGAATTACGATCGTCGTGCACTCGCTATTGAGAATCGGGAGTTGGTTGCCAATATGACTGATGAGCAGCGCAATGTTTATGGCTCGATAATGGACTCTGTTTACCGTACCTACAGCTGCATATTTTTCGTTTATGGTTACGGCGGCACCGGAAAAGCGTATGTCTGGAGGGCGTTGTCTTCTGCTTTGAGATCCAAAGGTGAAATTGTGTTGAACGTTGCAACGAGTGGTATTGCATCACTTTTGATTCCCGGCGGACGCACTGCGCATTCACGATTCAGAATCCCACTTAACTCAGTGGAAGGCTCTACATGCGATATTAGCCAGCAGAGTCCTTTGGTCGAACTGATCATACGATGTAGTTTGATCATTTGGGATGAAGCCCCGATGATGAACAAATATTGCTTCCAGGAGGTTGACAATACCTTGCGAGCTTTAATGGAAGCAATTGATCCATCAAGGAAAAATCTCCCATTTTGTGGCAAGTGTGTGGTGTTAGGTGGAGATTTCAGACAAATACTTCCCATTGTCCCTAAAGGCAGTCGAAGCGACATAGTCAATGCAACCATCAATTTATCCAAGTTGTGGCGCGATTTTATCGTTCTGAGACTGACTCGGAATATGAGGCTTCGAAGCCTTGGTGGGGGTGATGAGTACAATGAGTTGAGGCGCTTCTCTGAGTGGCTTGCAAACATCGGCGACGGTACAATCGGTGGATCGAACGACGACTGTGCCGATATCGACATCCCCGACGATGTTCTTCTACACTCACAAGGAGATCCTATTGGTACTATTGTTGAGAGTACCTACCCGATGTTCAGGAGTGCAGGTGACGATCTTAGTTACCTGAAGGACAGAGCCATACTCGCTCCCACACTTGATGTAGTTGAGTCCGTTAACGAGTACATGAGCTCGCTGAACTCATCCGAGGGAAGGACTTATTTGAGTTCGTACACCCCGTGCAAGTCAGATGCTGGATATGATTCTCTACAAGATCTTCACACTCCTAAATTTCTCAACGGGATCAAGTGCTCTAGACTTTCGAATCATAAACTGCACCTTAAGGTCGGCACACCAGTGATGCTTCTCATAAACATTGATCACTCCATGGGATTGTGCAAATTCATAAAAATTCAATATATCATATATATATTTACTTTAATCTTTGTACAAATTTGATTGATATGTTTTTGCATTCCGAGTTTTGATGGGAACAGGTACACGATTAGTTATCAGTAAGCTCAACAGCCATGTCCTGGAATGCAAGATTTTAACCGGCGCCAGAATTGGTGACAAGGTTCTTATTCATAGGCTCACAATCATACCATCCGATTTGAGGGTACCGTTCAAATTTCAGCGCAGACAATTTCCTCTCATGCTTTCATATGCCATGACTATCAACAAGAGTCATGGCCAGTCACTGTCCCACGTCGGCTTACTATTAAAAAATCCTGTATTCAGTCATGAACAATTGTATGTGGCACTATCTAGAGTCACGAATTGGAAGGGTCTGAAGTTAATGATTTGTGGGGATGGAAATTGGGATGATAGAAAAACCACGAACGTTGTATATAAAGAAATATTTAATAATATTTAGATTAAATATTTTGTTGCTTAACGTTTTCTTCAATGATTATATTATGATTGTTACAATGTTTTTTTTTTTTTTTACTATCATATAATTTTGCGTGCAAATGCACGGTCAACGACAACTAGTTAAAATAATTTTTATGCAATGACTCCCAAAATGAAATCAACTTTCACAATTGTTTGTTGCAACCAGGAGATCTGAACCCGGACGGGCCAAACCCGATTACTATGTTAAAACCCCGACCCGTAGTCCCGTACATAGAGAGCGTATAAAATGTACACAATCATCCAATAGTAGCTCTCCTATTTTCTCACTCCTTCGCTGTCGACACAGTCGTCTTTGTGGCTCTCTGTCTCTCTGTATTTACATCCCTTAAACGCTATTCATATCATATCCTTTCTTCTCGATCCATTCATCCACTGTAAGTCCCCTCGTCTCCAATCTCAATTCCCTCTTTAGATCTCGCATTCTGTTTACCAATTTTTTGTTTAATCGTTACCAATCAGGTCGAATTGTGTTGATTTCTTGGTTGTTTTAAGCTCAATTGATTGTTCAATCATTAGTCAAACTATTTGAGATTTATCGGCGCCATGAATAATTGGAGAAGTGCATGAGCTTTTATGTCTAGGGTAAAGATTATTTTGATTTGACTTTTGGTTGATTGGTAAAGTCATTTTTCTTCAGTAAGTTAACCTTGTGGTAGATAAGTTTTACACCAATTCCTTTGCCTACTTCCTATAAATCTTTTTGTCTTGTCTGTGTTGATCTATTGACTATTGTGCTGGATGTTGAAGCACTCATAGGTTGTTATTGCCCCTTTTTTTCCTTATTGAAAAACTCCAGTTTAATGTGGT